GCTATCAAAACTTCAATAAAAAATTGCGCAATGTCAGAAACGCCGTCAGCAGGGGAAACCTCCAAGGGTAGCTATATCTCAGCACTGTTGAAACAGAAAAACTCCGAAGATGATAAAATATGTGAGGTGAGGATCTTCGGTAAACCGGAGTTCAAATCTCTCAGCTCTGAAAAGAAGCCCAGACATCTAGACATACAAAAAAAGCAATAACATCAGCAACACGTATGGGAAAATTCAGACCTGAGTCGATAAGACCAAGAACATTTTTAATCATGTTCAGCGACAAAATGACTGCGTACAAGGTACTTGCGAGTGACTTCAGACTGAAGCAATACAATGGTACCACAGACGGACGAAAAATTCGAAGTGTACATCAGCAAATCGTTGAATAAGACCGAGCAAGAAAAAGAACGCAAAGTCTTGAAAAAAAGAAGAAGTCTGATCGAAGAAAACACAGATCCTAGCCGATTAAAAAATCGTAATTTAGAACTCTTCCTAGATGGAGCAGTAGTAGATTTAAGTGAATGTTGACTTTCTTTGAGTTACGAAACTGACCTATTTACTGATTATTCGATTCTTACTTTTAATACCCGAAGCTTAGTGAACTTAAGTAGGCGCACATCTCTATCAAACTTTGTCTTCACAAACAACTTTGACATCATCTGTTTAAGCAAAACATGGCTCACAATTAACATCAGCGACTCCGAACTATTCCTCCCTGGCTTCAATATCTTTCGGTCTGACAGAAACACCAAACAAAATTAAAAACAGCCCACGGTGGGGTCCTTATTGCAACAAAGTATGCACTAAAATGCTATGAAATCTTTCCTTCTGACCAATTTCAAGGTTATTGCACCGCTATATTCTGGGAATCTTCCGAAGCCACATTACTAATTGCCACATGCTATTTCCCCCCTCCTAACAGCAATTATTATTTGGATCCCTTCCATATTTGTCAGCTAATGGACTTCTTGTCGAACTGCAATGCAAATCATCGCATAATAAACAAAAAGGCGTGACCAGTCAACTTTAATCGTTCTACAATTGACTGGTCCATTCAAACCTCAGAACCACTCCATCAATGTATATTTGACAAAATAGATGAATTAAGCTTAACTCAAACTGTTCATTTCAAAACAACAAACGCTAATATACTTTATTTTTATTATTATGGTTATTATTATTATTAAGATTATTATTATTATGTATGCATGTACGTATACATGTATGTATGTATGTGTGTATAAATGTATGTATGTATGCTTTGTTGTAAGTCGCATCGCCAAAGTCAGTTCTTAAGTCACACTGAAGCTCTTTTTGTAAATTGCATCGCTGAAGTCATTTGTTATGTCACGCCGTCGCTTTTTTTTGTAGGTCGTATCACTAAATTCAATTCTTAGGTCATGTTGTAGGTTTTTTGTAAATTGCATCGTCGCTGAAGTAATTTTTTATGTCACTCCTTCGGTCTTTTTGTAAGCCGTATCACTAAATTCAGTTCTTAATTCAAGCTGTAGGCTTTGTTGTAAGTCGCATCGCTAAAGTCAGTACTTAAGTCACGCTGTAGGTCATTTTGTAAATAGCATCATTGAAGTCATTTGTTATGTCACGCCTTCGGTCTTTTTGTAGGCCGTATCACTAAATTCAATTCTTAAGTCAAGCTGTAGGCTTTCTTGTAAGTCGGATCGCTAAAGTCAGTTCTTGAGTCATGCTGTAGGTCATTTTGTAAATCGCATCGCTGAACTCGTTTGTAATGTCACGCCGTCGGTCTTTTTGTAAGCCGTATCCCTAAATTCAGTTCTCAAGTCAAGCTGTAGGCTTTCTTGTAAGTCGCATCGCTAAAGTCAGTTCTTAAGTCACGCTGTAGGTCATTTTGTAAATCGCATCATTGAAGTCATTTGTTATGTCACGCCGCCGGTCTTTTTGTAAGCCGTATCACTAAATTCAGTTCTCAAGTCAAGCTGTGGGCTTTCTTGTAAGCCGCATCGCTAAAGTCAGTTCTTGAGTCACGCTAAAGTTTTTTTTGTAAATCGCATTGCTGAAGTCATTTGTTATGTCACGCCGTCGGTCTTTTTGTAGGCCGTATCACTAAATTCATTTTTTAGGTGAGGCTGTAGGCCTTGCTGTAATCCGCATCCCTAGAGTCAGTTCTTACGTCACGCTGTAAGTTTTATTGTAAATCGCATCGCTGAAGTCATTTGTTATGTCACGCCGTCGGTGTTTTTGTGAGCCTTATCACTAAATTCAGTTCTTAGTCAAGCTGTAGGCTTTCTTGTAAGTCGCATCCCTAAAGTCAGTTCTTAAGTCACGCTGTAAGTCCTTTTGTAAATCGCATCGCTGAAGTCATTTATATGTCACGCCGTCGGTTTTTTTTGTGAGCCTTATCACTAAATTCAGAACTTAAGTCAAGCTTTAGGTTTGTTTTAAGTCGCATCGCTAAAGTCAGTTCTTAAGTCAAGTTGTAGGTTTATTGTAAGTCGCATCGCTAAAGTCAGTTCTTAAGTCACGCTGTAGCTTTTTTTTGTAAATTGCATCGCTGAAACCATTTGATATGTCACGCCGTCGGTCTTTGTGTAAGCCGTATCACTAAATTCAGTTCTTAAGTCAAGCTGTAGACTTTGTTGTAGGTCGCATCACTAAAGTCAGTTCCTAAGTCACGCTGAAGGTGTTTTTGTAAATCGCATCGCTGAAGTCATCTGTTATGTCACGCCTTCGGTCTTTTTGTAAGCCGTATCACTAAACTCAATTCTTAAGTCAAGCTGTAGGCTTTCTTCTAAGTCGCATCGCTTAACACAGTTCTTGAGTCACGCTGTAGGTCATTTTGTAAATCGCATCGCTGAAGTCAGTTCTTAAGTCAAGTTGTAGGTTTATTGTAAGTCGCATCGCTAAAATCAGTTCTTAAGTCACGCTGTAGGTTTTTTTTTGTAAATTGCATCGCTGAAACCATTTGATATGTCACGCCGTCGGTATTTTTGTAAGCCGTATCACTAATTTCAGTTCTCAGTCAAGCTGTAGGCTTTCTTGTAAGTCGCATCGCTAAAGTCAGTTCTTAGGTCACGCTGTAGGTCATTTTGTAACTCGCATCGCTGAAGTCATTTGTTATGTCACGCCGTCGTTCTTTTTGTAAGCCGTATCACTAAATTCAGTTCTTAGGTCAAGCTGTAGGCTTTCTTGTAAGTCGCATCGCTAATGTCAGTTCTTGAGTCACGCTGTAGGCCTTTTTGTAAATCGCATCGCTGAAGTCATTTGTTATGTCAAGCCGTCGGTCTTCTTGTAGGCCGTATCACTAAATTCATTTCTTAAGTCAAGCTGTAGGTTTGTTGTAAATCGCATTCCTAAAGTCAGTTCTTAAGTCACGCTGTAAGTCTTTTTTGTAAATCGCATCAGTGAAGTCATTTGTTATGGCACGCCGTCGGTCTTTGTGTAAGCCGTATCACTAAATTCAGTTCTTAAGTCAAGCTGTAGACTTTGTTGTAAGTCGCATCGCTAAAGTCAGTTCTTAAGTCACGTTGTAGGTCTTTTTGTAAATCGCATCGCTGAAGTAGTTTGTTATGTCACGCCGTCGGTGTTTTTGTAAGCTCTATCACTAAATTCAATTCTTGAGTCACGCTGTAGGTCCTGTTGTAAGTCGCATATTTTTAGTCAACTCTTACGTGATTTTGTAGGTCTTGTTGTCAGTCGTATAGCTTAAGTCAGTTCTTAAGTCAATTTGTAGGTCTTGTTGTAAGTCGCTTCGCTAAAGTCAGTTTTTAAGTCACGCTGTAGGTCTTTTTGTAAATCGTATCGCTGAAGTCATTTGTTATGTCACGCCGTCGGTATTTGGAAGCCGTATCCAGTTCTTAAGTCAAGCTGTAGGCTTTGTTGTAAGTCGCATCGCTAAAGTCAGTTCTTAAGTGACGCTGTAGGTTTTTTTTTAAAATCGCATCGCTGAAATAATTTTTACGTCACGTGTCGGTAATTTTGTAAGCCGTATCACTAAATTTATTTCTTGAGTCACGCTGTAGGTCTTGTTGTAAGTCGCATAACTTAAGTCAGTTCTTAAGTCACGCTGAAGGTCTTTTTGCAAATCGCATCGCTGAAGTCATTTGTTATGTCACGCCGTCGGTTTTTTTGTTAGCCGTATCACTAAATTCAGTTCTTAAGTCAAGCTGTAGGCTTTCTTGTAAGTCGCATCACTAAAGTCAGTTCTTAAGTCACGCTGAAAGTCTTTTTGCAAATCGCTTCGCTGAAGTCATTTGTTATGTCACGCCGTCGGTTTTTTTGTTAGCCGTATCACTTAATTCAGTTTTTAACTCAAGCTGTAGGCTTTGTTGTAAGTCGCATCGCTAAGGTCAGTTCTTAAGTTACTGTACAGCAAAAGCAACAACTAAAACTCAATAAATTCACACATTTAAATAACAGAAACAACCATGGGCATCGAAGCACGATATATGAAATTGATAAAACTAAAAATATGAGCGTAAAATTAAGCGTAAGTTTTAAGAAGCTAACAAAGCAGAATAGACCGCTAAACCTAATTCGATGGGAATTGCGATGGGGAGCCAAGAGCTTTAAATTCTCGGCCACACTGCAAGCACTTGCTGGTCTTCGTCTGTGTGAACAGCGCCGGTGCTTTCTTTGAAAGCTTCTCGCTATTGCAAGAATATAGGTTGGGAATAGCAAAACTACATGCATATTAAAATTTTTGTCGGAACGATCAAAGAGAATGAAAGAACAAAAGAATAACAAAGGAAGCGTCCTTGTTGCGGAATCCACTAACAATTCACAAAATGCTCAGTTTGGCCTGGTAATGTACTCAACTTCCTGCGACGTGTCTGTGCGTTATCTGATTTGCAGCAAAAAACTCAAACAGAAGCTTTAAATTTTTTCATATCAGCGGTCAAGTTCTCTTTAAAGGTAGGTAGATTAAATTAATCAACCAGTTCTATTAAAACAAATTAGTTGGTTAGAGTTACAAAGCATCAGAAAAGTATCATTAGTTTATACAAAAAGCACGAATTCAGTATTTAATAAGGTGCACCTATAGTTTTCCAGGAAAAACATTGAAATTTTTTTTACTCTACTGGCTGATAAAATGACTATCCGAGCTCTTCAGAAAAACAAAAACAAAATATTTTTCTAAGAAAATTTGTTTAAGGTTTTCAATTTTCATTTTTTTAAAATCTGGTGAAATTTATTCATCTTGATTCATCCAATTTTCCTTATTAGCCTATTTGGTGGTTTTTTATGCCGATCATCCAAACTGACTATGGTGTATATTAGCTGGTCACAAAACAGAATCTTAGAGTACCCTTCAAAATTTGTCTATTTTTTGCTCATGCATGCAATTTTTGAACAACTTGATATCTGGTAACTTTTGTCACCACAAAAAAAAACAGCAGAAGTATTGTTATCAATTCATTGCATGATGTGAAAGAATTTTAATGTTGTGGTGTAGCAAACTGACACAAGCTTATGTCTAAATCGAAACAGAGTATTAAACGATTTATGTGGGGACTGTTCTCATGCCCGAAAAACCGATAGGCGGGAAAATTCCAACCAATCAACTTTCGAATTGCCCAAAATTGTTTTCATTTTCACAGTTCTATCTTTCGAGCTTATGACTATTTAATTTTAATTGGCCAACATTCATTTTTCTGCATTCGTTCTCTCGGTCAAACAGGGATTCTCCAATTTTGTCTCGTTGCTTATGTGCTTGGTTTGTGATTGGTTAACGAATATTTCAGGATCTCGGCTTTTAGGGTGTCAATCATCAGATTTGTTATGTGCAGAATGAGCCGAGAGTGACTATGATGGAGGCGACGACTGCCACACTGTCCACGAACATCTCCTTCGAGTCGTTCATCTCCTCGTTCGTCGCATCCCAGTCTGACGTCAGCATGTCCTCATCCAACTCGTCCAAGTCCTCCATCAAGTCCTCCATGCCCAGCCAGTCCTCGTCGAAGTAGTCGGACCAGTCGTCCATTCCCGTTGTTGTCGGGTCGAATATAGCAGACAGGAGAAGATGTGACCAGGTACTATGTCGTGTTCGGGTCTTGATAGGAATAGAATATGATGTGCGAAGTTAATTCGGATTATTTTTCGGATCGAGTTTTACAAACGAGAAACAAAGGCTTCGCTCGTTTTCTGATAGGAGTGGAAACGATCTCGGATAAGATATCACACACGAGAAGGAACACGAGAGATTGGAAGTCAAGTCTCGGTTGGTATAGAAAACGATCCGATGGCAGAAATTGAATTCGTTTTCAAATGGACCAATAACAAATCAAAACAACAAATCAAAATAACAGGTTGAAACGGGTTGTCTATGTTTCGCAATAATGACCCTTCAGGGAAGTAATTTGTTTGGACTAGATTGAAGTCAAAAAAGAGAAGTAATTTTAGTAAGAACTTTGAATTAATTGAAACAAACAGCAGCAATATGCTTCGATGAAACCCCAGCCGACGAAAAACGTAAGTCTATAGTTTGTTTTGGGAATTTATCAGTTATCTTGAAGTTATTTGACTAAAGTACAATTAGTTTCCTTTTATGTGTGAAAATTACCCGTCAAATTACAAGATGTGCAAAATGAAGTATCTTACAAAACTATAACTGTAAAAATATTCTGATTCGTATTGACCTTAAAAGGGGGGTTTTGAACACAATTATAGGAATGCATACTTCTCAGTGAAGTAAGTTTGACTATAAGATAATGATGAATGTTTACGAGATTTGGTGTAAAGTAACTTTGGTGACATATTCTAGAACAAAAGTAGGTAGTGTGTTTTTGTTGATTCATACGTCTGTAATACCAACTATTGCTGTAGTGCTTTAGTTCATGACGGTATTAAGATTGTTGCTTTAACTTTGAACCGACTGTCGCAACGAAATCTACAAACCGTATCTCCAGACAGTTAGATGATAAAAGATAACCTTAAATGATTGTTTGATCGAATCAGAAACAATGAGTCAAAAGTACTTTCGCCATAATTTGAGCATTTTCACAACTTTACGGCTAAAATCTGAAACTAATTTCATTCAAAAACTCTAAAACAAGAAAACCTCACGTAGTTATCTATGGCTAAATTGAGTGAAAGGTAAAAGTCTTGAGCTTCGAATCCACGAGGCAGCCTTGCAATGTTTATGTTGATTCAACATTTGAAGGCTCTTTCGTCCTGATGTTTTGTGTAATGTTAAACTTTGAATGTTTGATTTACAAGTTAGTCATGGCAAATATAGCTGCAAGATCACCGCCTTAACTAAACCATTCAGAATTAACCCCCCTCTGGCTAGGATTCCGATGCATTTTTTGACTAAAAACCAATTTTACGTCGGAATGCGCGAAAACGACCCGAGCAGTCCAGAGGAGGTGCACAACTTATTGAGCGAATAAAAACGGTCCGCTCAAAGGGGATTGTGCGAACGAACATACGTTTTAGTGTCACGAATTTTAAAAGTCGCAACTGGAACAAATTCTGGAAATTCCAAAAAGTCCCGACATTTGAAACTCAGGTCACTCGAAGTCCAAACAACAGTGGAGTAGAGTCAAACTCACTCGAGTTTGGCCGAGGCAGTCAGAGCAGATCTTGGAACCACAACGCCATTTACAAACTGACAACTGGTCATCTATTCTTTTTTCTTTGAGTTTTGTTCTTTTCATTTAGAAGTTGAAAAAGCGTTCAATAGTTTCACACAAAACCCTAAATTATATTGACGAACTCAGAGACTGGTAAAATGCGAATAGTAAATTAAGTATGAAATGTCTAGATAAATTCCAATGCATATATGCAAATACTTATGAAAAAGATTTGAATCACAAGAGCTGATGAATTGACCTTTCCGATTAGGGTTTTGAAATAAGATCAAAGTTGTTTTGAAAAAGGATCTTGATGTGTGAAGGTTCCAATGTTTGTGCGGATGAACCTTCTTTTAGGAGAACGAAAGAGTGCGGTATTCGTATTGGGCGGAGTGCCAGCGCTTTTTTCCACTCACTTTAGGGAATCTAGGACTGGACTGCCGTATCGGCCTGGGACATTTCTTTGTCCATCAGGAATCTTAAGTGGATGTTTGCGACTCATTGTCGAGTGTTTTTTTTTCGTGTATTTGGGTTGTTTCTCAGTTTGTCCAGCGGATGGTGTTACTGCTTCGCTGCTCTGAGGATCGAGTTGAGTGGAGCCAGAAACTAGCTCTAGGTTGTTTTTCCGTGTATTTTGGTTCTTTCTCAGTTTGTCCAGCGGATGGTGTTACTGCCTCGCTGTTCTGAGGATCGCGTTGAGTGGAGCCAGAAACTAGCTCTAGGTTGTTTTTTCGTGTATTTTGGTTCTTTCTCAGTTTGTCCAGTGGATGGTGTTACTGCCTCGCTGCTCTGAGGATCGAGTTGAGTGGGGCCAGAAACTAGCTCTAGGTTGTTTTTCCGTGTATTTTGGTTCTTTCTCAGTTTGTCCAGCGGATGGTGTTACTGCCTCGCTGTTCTGAGGATCGCGTTGAGTGGAGCCAGAAACTAGCTTTAGGTTGTTTTTTCGTGTATTTTGGTTCTTTCTCAGTTTGTCCAGCAGATGGTGTTACTGCTTCGCTGCTCTGAGGATCGAGTTGAGTGGAGCCACAAACTAGCTCTAGGTTGTTTTTCCGTGTATTTTGGTTCTTTCTCAGTTTGTCCAGCGGATGGTGTTACTGCCTCGCTGCTCTGAGGATCGAGTTGAGTGGAGCCAGAAACTAGCTCTAGGTTGTTTTTCCGTGTATTTTGGTTCTTTCTCAGTTTGTCCAGCGGATGGTGTTACAGCCTCGCTGTTCTGAGGATCGCGTTGAGCGGAGCCAGAAACTAGCTCTAGGTTGTTTTTCCGTGTATTTTGGTTCTTTCTCAGTTTGTCCAGCGGATGGTGTTACTGCTTCGCTGCTCTGAGGATCGAGTTGACTGGAGCCAGAAACTTGCTCTAGGTTGTTTTTCCGCGTATTATGGTTCTTTCTCAGTTTGTCCAGCGGATGGTGTTACTGCCTCGCTGTTCTGAGGATCGCGTTGAGTGGAGCCAGAAACTAGCTTTAGGTTGTTTTTTCGTGTATTTTGGTTCTTTCTCAGTTTGTCCAGCAGATGGTGTTACTGCTTCGCTGCTCTGAGGATCGAGTTGAGTGGAGCCACAAACTAGCTCTAGGTTGTTTTTCCGTGTATTTTGGTTCTTTCTCAGTTTGTCCAGCGGATGGTGTTACTGCCTCGCTGCTCTGAGGATCGAGTTGAGTGGAGCCAGAAACTAGCTCTAGGTTGTTTTTCCGTGTATTTTGGTTCTTTCTCAGTTTGTCCAGCGGATGGTGTTACTGCCTCGCTGTTCTGAGGATCGCGTTGAGTGGAGCCAGAAACTAGCTCTAGTTTGTTTTTTTCGTGTATTTTGGTTCTTTCTCAGTTTGTCCAGCGGATGGTGTTACTGCCTCGCTGTTCTGAGGATCGCGTTGAGTGGAGCCAGAAACTAGCTCTAGGTTGTTTTTTTTTCGTGTATTTTTGTTCTTTCTCAGTTTGTCCAGCGGATGGTGTTACTGCTTGGCTGCTCTGAGGATCGAGTTGAGTGGAGCCAGAAACTAGCTCTAGGTTGTTTTTTCGTGTATTTTAGTTCTTTCTCAGTTTGTCCAGCGGATGGTGTTACTGCCTCGCTGTTCTGAGGATCGCGTTGAGTGGAGCCAGAAACTAGCTCTAGGTTGTTTTTCCGTGTATTTTGGTTCTTTCTCAGTTTGTCCAGCGGATGGTGTTACTGCCTCGCTGTTCTGAGGATCGCGTTGAGTGGAGCCAGAAACTAGCTCTAGGTTGTTTTTCCGTGTATTTTGGTTCTTTCTCAGTTTGTCCAGCGGATGGTGTTACTGCCTCGCTGTTCTGAGGATCGCATTGAGTGGAGCCAGAAACTAGCTCTAGGTTGTTTTTTTCGTGTATTTTGGTTCTTTCTCAGTTTGTCCAGCGGATGGTGTTACTGCCTCGCTGTTCTGAGGATCGCGTTGAGTGGAGCCAGAAACTAGCTCTAGGTTGTTTTTTTTTCGTGTATTTTTGTTCTTTCTCA